GGATACATCTGTCCCTATCCCCATGAGCCGGAGGTCGTCTAGCATCGAGATCAACGTTAGAACGGGAAAAACTAGCAACAAAATGGTCGCCTTTGGTGTTAACTCGTGCCAGAATCTTATCTGCTATGAAGGCCACCTTGTTGAGCGGGGTGTCCTCGAGCAGAGCCGTAAGGGTTGGCTGAATACTGACTGGTAAGGCTTCGAACCACAACTCTTTGACTATCTCAGAGTCAGCTGTCATGTTTCCTGCAAGGGATTGCAGGCGCGTGAGGTGGTGGCTCGGCTTAGCATCACCCATAGGGTGACGTGCTAAAAGTGTCCTCAATCTTTCCTCTCTGGATGGGAGGAAATGTCGTAGGATGGCATCCTTAAGACGGTCATAAACGTTTGGAACGTTGGGATTGAGGACAACCTCACGGACAGCGGTTAGGTGATCCCCGGGCAATGATTCCAAAGCGTAGGCGTATTTCTGCCTTTGGTTGGTTATGCGACGGATCTCAAATTGAGATTCCAGTGCCGCGAACCAGACTTCTGGATCATGGGGGATGAAAGGAACCGGTCGGAAACTGATAACCTGTATCTCGGAGTCTATCATATTTATGTTATTCTTATCGTTATCTACCATATTAAGTTGCCAAAATATTATATATTGAAAAAAATCAATACGAATATATGCAACAGATGTGGATAGATAAATAGACTCACCGGATTGATCTGGTTTGGAGAATTGGCCAAGTTTGACTTGTGCTCGATGGATTGGGTTACCAGCTGTATTGCGTGTTCCAACAACGGCTCACCAGTTGTAGTGGATGTCGAGTCGTGGACGGACTATGATCACCACTACTATTCGATTACGCGTACAAATATGACTTGGTTCCCTTGATAGCCCGTAAACCAGAAGGCTTTACTAGTCCAGATCAAGTATATTTATTGGCGATCTCGTGGTATCGAAATAATACCGAGACGTGCCAAAGAGTACAAGTGAACAAGCAGTGCGTGAGCAAGCTCGAACCAAACCAGGCGGTATATGGAACAAGAAGTGAAACGGATACAGTTAAACAAATACAGTAAAACAATCTCTAGTACAATTGGTTACAATAATAATAATTGTTTCTATTATTCCAATCGTGTTCTTATCGAGACTGGCCGGTCACTACAATACCATCAATAGAACATGTCTTCCATGCGTTCAAGAACATAAAGACTTAGGAGTAACTATAAGTCACGACCTGAAAACTACTACGCACTGCAGTGCGGCTGTTTCCAAAGGTTATCGTGCGCTATGGTCACTTCGCCGAGCATTTAAATCCTTAGACGAGATGTTTCGAATTTTATATCCCATCTATGTAAGGCCCCAACAAGTGGTATCATGCCCATCAGTGAACATTTTCAAGGAGAAGCCGGATCTTCAGTGTAAGGCAATCTGTCAGGATTAACACAGGTTCATCAACTTACTATCCTTATTACTGAAGACTGAAGACCGATATCCTGGATAATGGCTATGTGGCGGGAAATTAATTGGTCCGCTACAAAGTTGTATTTGTATCTTGTGTGAAAATTTTTCACGCTAAGTTAGGTAGGTTTTTTAATCGTTTTATGCAGATAAGGAAGAAGTGTAGTTAGAGATGCCTAAATTTTCTAAGACATATGGAATCATGCATATCTTTTTCTAGCTACCTCAATGACATCTGTAATGCTTCACGTGAACTGTTAATGGCATGACTATTTATATTAAAAGCATCGATTAATCGTCACCTCGAATGATTTAAGCCGATTCTAGCATTTGCTTGGAATTTCCTCACTAGTTAGGGCTTCGAAGAACTAGCTTTCTTAATCTTTATGATTACTATAGAGACAAGATATTTAATATTTTTATAGTCTTCAGCAACTCAAATATTTTCCTCTCCTTTATTATACCAGATATTATACGAAAACTGAAACAGTCAAGCTATTGAACTTCCTGGGAATTATTGGTGATTATTAGCTTTCAGGGCATATGTCAGCTGACGTGTAGGCCTTTAGAGGTCCAAAGTCTGACAATATTATAAGGTTCTCACCTTAGTGCAACTGATCCAAATGTGTAAAATACTCAAATGGAGCAAATGAATAGCCCCCATAGGGTCGCTGGTGCATTTTATTGAGTATTTGGGTTTAGAGACTGGTAACTTCAGCACGACAAATCTTGTGTTACCTCTGGAAAATATGACCTGTCTGGCGGATTGGATTGTAAGTCATACCAAATCATATCCTTCACATAAAATTTACTAGTTACACCTAATCTCGTGCCAATTTCAATCGCTTCCACCTCAGCAGGAGTGGCGGTGCTACGTTCGTAATATTAAGCAACATTAGCTAATACTACAGCAAAGTTAGAAGCATTAAAGACGACTCTTCGTAATACATTCACGAATAAATGTCGGGAAGATGTTTGTAAGCCGCGAATTTTCTGAAATGCCAGATGACAGGCTGGAAGGAAGCGAGGGTTTACCAAAGATTCGCGCCAGCCTATGAAGGCATTGACAATTGTACTGAGCCATGGTAATAGGTGTAGACTACTTAGTTTCGGTCCTCTCGACTATAGCGACCGGTGAATACTGACTTTAATCGACATGGTATGACAACCTTAGCAATGGCCCAGGTTAATTCATTCTTTGTTTTCCCCGAATTCCGGTCTTTTAAATTACGCAAAACTGTTTTGTTTTCATTCGACTTATATTTTCTCAAATTATCTTCAGTATTTAACCTTTTCTGTTACTACTGACACTGTTACTATGTCTGCTACTCTGGGATTTGACTTGACAATCTCATCTTTTATTGCTAATGGGGTGTGGCAACTTGAACATATATACACACGTAATGGATTCTATGCTGCGTATAACTGACTGATACAGAACTCATCTATTCATATAATCAAAAATATGGGAAAGAAACAATAAATTGTGAGACTAATTAGAAGTTTTCTAAGATTTCTTCCGTTTTTGGAAACACTATGACCAGACAGTAGAGGCAACGGTTGTCACTGGCCAACTTTCTAGCCGCCTATTTCGCTTGATAGATATGACTACAGGTTCCCATTTCCTGGTATACAGATGAGTAGAATGGAATTATTAGTGTGACACCGACACGGCGACCCAAAGAAAAGAAAGTAATCTTTAAAAAACAAGGCTGTTGGAAGACAGCTACTCATTTCTGACCCTGATATTTAGCGTCAGTTTAGTTGGATGATTATGGTACCTGATTTTGATCCTGCTATTCCCCGTGTAGTTTTTCGAGGACTTTTAACCTGGTAGTTAATGCTAACAGCCGTGATCTTACTGATTCCCTCACTCATCTACACGTTCATCCCACTTTTAGGTTGAATACGTAGCATTAAAAATAATACGTCATTGGATAATGTTTTAGGTGTGATCATTCGGCAGCATTCAAAAGTCGTAAGACCAAAGCATCAGGTGGATAGTATGAAACACTTTCGCATTATATTATAACCAAAGGTCAGCCAGTTGAGTCATGGACTCGATGCCTACCACGTGATAAACTCGCCGCTGCCAACTCGGAGTTCTGGCAATCCAATTAAGTATTATCCAACCTTTAAGTACCACCACTACATATAGTAATAAAGAGGGTCGAAGATTAGTGTCTTCATGGGGACTATCAAATTTTAAACAACTTGAAGATTACTGACATATTTTATTCCATGTATTCATAATTTTTGTTTTGCACTTAGTGGACGGAAAATATTCATCAAAGCGGATTTAGCTAGGGCTCTTCATTGGATATCAATAGCTTTGAAAGGCATTCAAAAAATACCGAGCAGTTGAAAGAACTTTGATCCTTTTGAGTGAACTCAGTTTTTGGTGTTTTCTAACAGGGAATTTTCTTACGTATCGTTCATTTCGTATTAATTGCTATTGTTTTATCATTGTTTTTTATGCATGTTTGTTTTAAGTGTATATCTGAGTTCTTATTCGCCTGTAACTAATAACGTTTGTGTATTAATTTTTTGATCTGAGTCCCCATCTTGAGTTACTAGAGTACAAAAAGCGAGTACAGTTATCTCGTGCTTACGTTTTCTCTTTATTTATATAGCTTAGCATAAAAGCTAAGCTCCTTACTTGACTTGGTTACTAATGTTATAGTATTATTTTTTGATTGATCTCTAACGTTTATGCACATTAACTCTTCCTACAGCATAAACAACTCTTCATATTGTCGAGCTCACGTCCACAGCGATGGTTAATGTTCATAAAGGAATTCTTGTCAAGTGGTAATATGAATATTAATAGTTATCATCTAATTGTCGATTGTAATTCAGTGACCCTGCTATGAAACAATTTCTCCTACATTTAGCAGAAAATTTAGTTTTGGGCAAAAATTTCGTACATACGGATTTAGATGACTATCATTTGTTTATCGATGCAGATATTCTTAGTAAACTTCAAGAAAAAGTGGATGGTCTCATGGAGAGTTTATCTTTTCCAATGACTGTTGAAAATGATTGATTTTGTTGTTCCATTTTTAAATGTTCACCGTTCAGTCATCCTACGCTTTACCGTTTTTGTGAAAGTGCAACAGTTCTACTGTTTATCGGTATTCTGTGAATAGCCTTATTCCTTATAATCTGACTACTTATACCGTACAATGTCATATTTTGTAAATAACTAATATGTAAAAATGATTTTCGAAATATACAGTTATGCATTATGACCGTGTTCTGTTTACCTCTCTAACTCATTATTTCTAAATGTTGCTTTAAGTTTGCTGATTTCGAGGAGTATGAAACAATGTTGTCACCATCTCGTTTGACACTCGATTTTTTCGAGCCATATGTCATATATATTCTCACTTCAATAGGCCAACTTATCTACAGTTTTCATCAGATCACCTGTATTACCCCACTGTCGGTTTCTCTAACTTCATTCCTTTTCGAACTCTCTCTCTCTCTCTCTCTATATATATATATATATATATATATATATATATATATATATATATATATATATATATTGGATTAAAGCATGTTCTATGCACGATTGCATTTGCGTACTCTGATCGACTAATTCTTATCCAATCAGCGCTAGTCGATACTTGGAGAACACTCTAGAGTCTTCTCATGTAAAAACTATACATATACTAACGGTTTTCTTATTGTATTTTTCTTCCTTCCACCTACCCTTGTTATTCGGAATATAATTTCTTTCCTGTTCAACCGTGTTCTGACATGGGGACTTGTCGAGTGAATTGGTGTCCAAGAATACTAAGCAATAGGAATGACTAGGTCGTAATAAGAGAAATTATAACAGTATCCATTAGTAGTCGTACATTTATTGAAGTGTAGTGTACGTGACAAACCTACAAAGGTCACGAATTCACTAAGCTTGTTTTTGGTGGTAGTTTCGGTGCCCTAAATTCAAGATAGTCACGAGAATAAATCAATAAACTAGGAGAAAAATAATTAGTTATCTCATAGAAAGAAATTTGTTTTATTCAGTACTACGTAGTGAGTTTTTACTCTCAGGATACGGTTTAGTCAGTTTTATGGATACTTTTATTTTCTGTGAAGACTCCATCCCTTTAATGGCATTTCCTGTTGTCATTGCTAACAGCCCAGTTACTTTAGTAGTTCTTTCCTTTTTCATTCTGGGTTTGTAGTTTGGTCATGTTTTGCTCGTTGTATACTTTTGGTACTAACTGAGAGGGTCGCACGATTGAATAACTACATGATAATTCGAAGGTGACAGAATTCTTTTGAGTATATATTCGAGAAATTAAAAGGAGAGGTGGATTTGAAAATGATGTTATGCATATTTCGTTCTCTCAGATGGTTCAGTCAAGAAGTTTTCACTATCTCCCATAGACTAAATCTTTGCTGAAAATGTTTAGAAGAACAACGCAAGAATCTCAGTTAATATTCGTTGGGTGATATCTGCGGGATCATAATAACAAGTACATAATATTACCCGGTGTTACTCAGATATTAGGTCAAGTTTGCCTTCCACTCACAAAGTTTAGAGCAAACAAAACTACCGAAGTTAATCAGTAACATTGAACAGAGAGGTGTTTAACGTTATGTAGCTTCTATGAATACATTTTATGAAACGATTAAGTGAAATGTTTATTGGTTCACCGTTCATGTACTATTGTAAAATAATATTGAAAATAACCACTCAAAAGTTTTTGTCTATCTCTATGCCTATATATTGGATTCTTGTTTCAGGCCTGAACGATGATGGCAGATCATACATCACAGATCAAATCACCTATAGACAATAAGTATAATTCAGAAATGGATAATCCAGACAATATGTATGGTTTTTTTATGATAATTTCTTTTTTATCCCTTTCTAAATCTTCACTAGAGGTAACAATAAAGATAGTACAATACGAAGTCTTGAAGAAAAACTCAAATTGTTAGATGAAGAAAAGTTAGATCTTGGTTTGTTTACTAATTTTTATATTTTTGATTTATATATAAATAAATCTGTAGAAAATCAAATTTATGCAGCTGAGAAAAAATATCATGAACAATTGAATTCATATTTAGCGCGTTATATTAATGCAGACTTCAGTTTAGCTCAAATGGAATATATATTGGTGAGTTATTCTCTAATGTGTTTTTTGTTTCCCTCTTATTCGTTCACTTCCAGGTCTAAATGAATATTTCACTAGTTTTCATTGAGCAAAATACAGATCAGTAATAACTATTGAAATTTTAACATTTAGATTATGGATTTAAATCGTATTCTCACTTGGTTCAATATAGACTGTCAACAATATCATAAGGTCTCATGCAATGAAAGTGATGCAACACTGAGTATCCAGTCTATTCTAACTTACTGAGTTATTATTTAGATATACAGTGTTTTGTTTTCAAATGCGAAATTCCAGTTTAGTTGTAGAGTTACAAACATCTGATATTATGGTTTAGCTGGATATATTGCTGTCCTCTTGTTCATTTATCTTCTCTCGACGTAGACTTTAAGCTGTATTTCACTAATGATTTAACGTGGCTGCTCAAATCTGATGAATTGGGTGAGCTACATACTTTCAATACTCAATGACTGCAATTCGAACACTTTTAGCCTTTAGATTATAGTTTATGTTGTTAATAAAAATCTCATGGTTGTTTCAGGTTAAAGTGTCAGCCGCTTTTCAAAAATCGGTTAGTTGTTCTTGACAGACATCATTCCGAACAGTATCACTCACAAATATTGTTAAAGAACAGTGAAAAAGGATTGCCGCCATATTAATAAACCAAAATGCCAAAATACGTTCATAAATGAATATATTAAACTGATCGTTAAAACAGTCGTATCATTTCTCACAGCATGTTGTTCGTAAAAACGACTTACTGCAACCCAAACTACTTATAATTGGTAAGTAGTACATTAACATGAAACAAATACAAGTGTGAAGAAAATAAAGTTTAGATCATAATATAAACAGGTTTAAAAACAGTGTTTACGTCATCTAGTGTGTGTCTTTCATTGTATTATTCGATGAAAATGCAAATAATAACGTAATTTTTTATTATTGCATTTTAAAATATAAAGCCTGCTAAAAGAGCGAAATTTAGCAAAGTACATGCATCAACAACATCTGGTTATTCATCAAATTCTATTGGTACTGATGCCAATTCATTAATCACATTGAAACATTTCTTTGAACCTTCAATGAATCTTGTTTATAAAAAATTACACGAAATAACAAAAGAAGCACAAAATAAATATCGACAAAGTAATGATGATATGTTAGCATGGAAATTTTCACCAGAAAGGTAAATATTAATTCATATCATTATTTTTAACAATACTACTCTTATTACTACTACTGCTACCTATATTAGGTTCAAATTAAATCTCAGTGCCAACTAAAGTTTATTACTTATGCCTTTTTTTCTTAAATATTTAAATCACTGAATGACTTTTATCGATATACTTCTGATTATTGACCATATTGAGGATAAAATTACATTCATCAGTTAATGAAGTCCAAAACTATAAACAGTTTATATTATCTGTAAAAAATATCCTAAGGTGTACGACGATTTACTCACTACATGCACATTTTCATTTTATGAACCAACTACCTTAAATCCAATTTAAAGTGTTTACGATTATGAATAATTACATTCTTATTTTTAGTTAGCTGAGACAGGCGAAATGAACTTTTCATATCACATGAGCTTTACTTACATGCCTAGATTTATGTTGGACTTTTTGCTGAATTCTTCCTGACCTTTGTTTTTGAAGTATGCTCTTTTCTAACTGTAACGGTCGAATATTTGGAAATTGCAGAATATGATTCTTTAAGTTGATCTAAAACGTTAATTATGTAAATAATTTTACTACATTGTATGTATGGGAATGAAGTACAAAAACACTGTCATCAAAGATGTCACAATTCAAGTTATAGACACGGAGCATCGATTGTGAGTTGTAAGTCCAGTTACATTTGATTTCACGATACCAGTCCGTTGTCACGCGTTGAGATGAGGTGTTTTTTTTTCACTCACTAAGGATTTTAAAAAATGATAAGCCAATAGATTAAAATGAGCTGTATGGAAGTTGTAAGAGATTTCTTGGTCCCACAATTTACAGGTGATTGATAAATTCCTTTTAAGTCATATTATGAAATTTAGATAATGCAAAGAAAAGGCTGAATGTGTACCAAAGTGGCTGCAAAGGCAAATTAAGTCGAACGGCCCAATAAGGCCAGATGATAAATACCTATCTTCTGTTGTCAAATAAACCTTTGAAATAGGTTATAAGTCTGATCTTACCTTTGTGGTTTTGTATAAAATCTGTCTAGAGCCAATACTTAGGCTTGATGAAGCCTTATCCATATGAAGATTCAAATCCGTTTTATGTTCGAAAATAATTTGTACTTACACTGCACTTACCCTGGTGATATCGATTGTTTATCCATATTATTTCTGCTTTTTTGCTTATATTTCAATTTGTCTAATTGTCCTTTAGTTTTCATGTACAAAGACCTTAACAGGTAGATTAGTGACCAGATTGTTCGAAATACATTGTATTAATATATTTCACATAGTTCTGATAAACTCAGTCGTCTCATTGTATTTTATAGATTTATCAAATGAGTTAATTATTTTAAACGTTTTGAATTAATAATTATTTTGTTCACGTGTATCTAAAATGGTAGAATGTTTTCTGGCAAGCATCAGTTTTTTTTATAGTTCCGATATTTTAACCTGTTTGTATCGGTTTATATAACTAAGACATACTTTTAAATTGTATCATTTATATACTTTCATAAGTCATTGTTACTTTTTCTAATATCATAGTGTTTTTAATGAGTACTTTATAAATAATTGGGTTGGAGAGACACTTTCTCCAGTTCATGCACCAAATATACTAGTTCTTATTTACTGTTTTATGTTTCCAAAACAATATTGTCAACATAGAATAGATAGAATGTGGCTAGGAGTATTATCCAGGACGCTCATTTTGTTTTATTCGGTATTCGTTAGCTGAATGTACCCTCATCCAAAAGTTGATGTCCACTTTGGAATTCTAACCTAGTGTTGTTTGCTTCAAACATTATCGCGTTATCCACTTAGCTATCGAGTTTGGATAGATACTCATTTATTGCACAGTTATGAGATTTTATTCCCTAAAATGTGTAGTCACAAAGGATGTATGTTAGTTAAAATAACAACTCATTGTCATGAATCCTGTTATTATAGTAGACGTAAATCAGCGTTTAATATATGTGTTGTGTGTGTGACTTCTAACCTTCATTTTTGCTTTTTAGTTATCTTAATTTCCTAGCATAGTCAACCTATAACTTTGCTGAAAATTCATTACAAAGTTGATTCACCATTTTATTTAATTTATAAAATTTTATCATATATCCAAATATTCTGTAGTCGTATATGATTCGTGAATTCCGCTGAACATAGTTCACATATTTTATTATTTCCGTTTATAAAACACATGTGGTGAACTACTGCTTACTGGTTACTGAATCAATCTTTCAAATATTAGGATAGGTTCAGTAATTCTCCATTCATATATCAGTATGATTTAACTAGTTAAATTATATGGAATTTAACTCTCATACAATAATTGTCCCTCATAATTTATCGAATGCATAGTTCTGCTTATTGTAGGGTCATTGAAATAACACAGAATCTCAACCAATTAATTTGTCAAGCTAAACTTGTTCCTCGCTTAGAAGATTGGTCAATGGATATTGAAAGCTGAATCAATTTCATTTATATATTTATTTATTTGAACACAGAAATATTGGTACAAAGAGGCACCGAATACATATGCGCCGCACAAATCTCATTCGATTTGTATGGGGACTGTGATACTGCCCCCGTGCTCAAACTAAAGCAGGTGGTTTTCTTAGAGAGCCACACCAAGAGCCTTTGACCTAAAGGTCTGATCCACAAGGCAGTGGAGCATTGTGAGGAGATGCAGTCCCATGGTAGCCGGTGACCAACGATCGATTCATACTCCATTTATTCCCTCAGGATACTGGAACCCATGTGCACCATTGGTTTGGAATGGGGGTTTCCCACCTCCTCTAGGTGTACTTTCCGTTTCCACCAACCCTGTTATAGCGCCAGACATTCGCTTTCCGTCCTCTCAAGTTCGTAAACAACAGTAATGCCACGAGAAGGCAGTGAGTAGGACTTCCCTGACAGTGGCCATGTGAGAGCATTTGGAAAGGGAGAGCAGACTCTTCCCACTCTCGGCCGTACCAGGGTATTTGCTTGTCAATACATGTTCCTATACCCTAGCAAATGAATTACATAAGGATTAGTCAAAGTGAATAAAAACGAACGTGGATTAATAAAGTGATACAGTAGAGTCACGGCTTGTAACACTATAGTTTCATCTTATTTGCTATCATTTAACCCTCTTTACAATTAATCACTTATTCATAACTCTACTCTTTTTCTCCTTTCTACTCACAAGTCCCCTCCCCTGTATTTCATACATTTAATTTGTTGAGTTTAAGTATCTGAAATGTCATACAATTTTTCGAATTTCTAAATTTAACTAAACAAGTACAATCAGCGTAGCAGAATAACATAACATAACATAAATTCTCATCAGCTGCTTACAATCGTAAGATCGTTTTTCCATACACATTGTTGTTTTCATTAATTTTCATTGATGAGGACTTTTCTAATTCTATAATATAAGGTATGTACACTGATTTTTAGAAAATCAATACCATTATGTTCAGGTTGTAAGCAGCAGCAGCTAGTGAGAAAGCACGAAGTATCATCATTTCATATTATTTTGCTAAATTAATTGTCTGAAGTATATCTATTCTCACTACGTCTTTGTATCCAACTTTTTAATATCGTGTATTAAAGTGAATCTAATTACACGATGGGGTTATATAGTAGTAACTACCAGTCAAAAGTGCTATGCTTGTCAAAAGATGATTGAAAAGATTGAACTGAAGAGAACCAAAATGGTAACAAAAAAGAATTGGAAGAATCATGAATGATGTAATTGGCAACTGACGAAAGATGTGTAAATGAAGTATTTAATGTATGGTTTTTATAATTTTTATCAAGACATTCTGTAATTGTACACTAAACAACAAATTGGTCTTCACCTGAGTTCTCGTTCATCACATATATGATTTATGTACTTATTTGTTTTTTTGTAGTTCAATAGGAAAATCACTAATGTCACGTATTAGACAATTGTTAAGCGCTAATGAAGAACTAGGTCGAGTCAATCAAACTGATCGTGTAGCTAGACTAGAATCAGAAGCTGAATTACAAACAACATGTATGAAAGAATTTATCAAAACCAATGAAGGTATTACACTATTATATAAAGTTAATATTTTTTTTAAAACGAAGAAAAATTATTAAGAAAATTCCATTTCAATAATTGATTGTTTTGAATTCATAACAAATAAACTAAATTGTTTTTTACTATGAAATAACATAATTTAAACAACTACTACAGGACCCCTCAGCAGTGCGCATCCACGACCTCGCCTCGCGAGATTCGAACCCAGGACCTACCAGTATTGCGTCCAGTGCTCCCAGGTTTTCCTTGGTGGTCTAGCTTCAATTGACTCACGCTTTCAACTATGAAAACACTAAATCTCCACAAAACCCCTTCTGATTACCACAGGACCGACTAAAATACTTTTAAAATCTGTAGAAAATGAGTTTCTATTAAATTTATTGAAACGAATTAAAACAATTAACCAATAGAACAAACTTCTACGGTATTTTACTATACTTAATTTCTTCTAGTTTGTTGACCATATTTTTTTCTAATTTCAAACATTTGGTTACTACGTTCTGATTAACCGTTATTTATATTCCCCCAGTCAACATTTCAGACCGTTTATGTTCAAATTAATGTCACAATGACGCAAAATGTCTAGATTAGTATAAATTGCTGTAACACTCGGCATATATAGATTTATCCAATCTCCCTTACTTCCATCAAACTATTTGCAATGATTGGCCACCAAAAGTGAGTCCAGACAAAGTATAAAAGTACTTTTGAATCCGCTAGTGTCACTTTTCTACTTAAACGTCGATAATAGGATTCACCCTCAACATTACATAATTATTTATGATAATATTCACCGTCGTACCTATTAACTGTGATAAGATTCATACTTGTCAAAGATAAACATTCTACCGAATAACTCAAGTACCTGAATATGGAGATAAACTAATCAAAAGCAACGTTTATTAGTCCATAATGGAGTTATTCCTGTTTTAGGAAGTTGCTCTATTCTGCGATCTTGTGTATTTTAGAAATAGGTTAATAAGGCCTAAAGTTATTGAATGTGATTATATCTCGAAAATGGATTAGAATAATTTCTACAAATAGCAGTTTTATTCAACTTTAAAATACTTTGTTAAGAAAAATTGGTGACTGGTAACACAGTTCAAACTAGAAGTTCAAATTACTGTTCGTAGGGTTAACAAAAATTACCATTCAGTGTAAGTAGTTGCATAATCCTTACCAAAATAATCTTCGGTTCTTTCCGTCTTGATTTTCAGTGAAGACTGTATCACACTCGTATATTGTAAATTTTTTTTATCATGTCAACTAAAATGTTTTTCTCGAAACTTCTACGTATTCTATTAGACATTGAAGGTGTACTAGAGGAAGCCTATACGGATTTAGAAGGTCTTCAAAGTAGTTTGTTAATCTTGCAACAACAAATAAATCAAACTGAATCAGTTGTTGAAACTTTACAGGTAAGTAAGATGTTGAATAGCAGTGTGTAAAAATTGTAATAATCGATTTCTCCGAATCATTGACTTTTGATCTTATTCGTGTGTATAGATTCCTCTTTTGTATCTCACAAGATAATTAAAATCGATAGTTGGCTACACCTTTTTTACCTCTTATTCTATAATTCTTATTTGTTCCTTGTAAACTAAGCATTCTGACTGGTCACTGAGTACTGGCAAATGTCATGCTTGTCTAGTTGTTTTAGTGCTGACTAAATTGTATCGACGAAGCTACAGTGTGGTCAATAGTCTGAGTGACTCGGTATTGCATGTATTACATTTTTTTAATGTTAGGTGATTGGAGATAGTCATCAGGAAACTCTAAAATTATGTTTCGTGCTTATTGGCACTGGTCACTAAAACGTACCTGTAATCCAAAGGGGACTGATGCTCTCTGGTACATTCGAATACGGATAGTTCAGTTTCACAGCTTGATCGATTCGGTCAGCAATAATGTCTAGAAAAATACTACTAATCTGTGTATCTCAATCCTACAGATTAGTTGCGGTCCGAATAGCTCACTGATCTGAAACTGTATGATCCAGGTTCCAACCCACCAGAGAGCATCAGTTCCCTCAAGATAGCAGCTACTCCTTATTCATGAGGGCTACCTAGTACGGAACCTAAGTTTAGAACTTTTTGCCGACTACATCCAAATACATAACATCAGACTCTTTTTCGTTTGTTTAGTTTTACACTGCAAACAATATTATTATTTCACCTCCTTTGTTTCTAATCTAAGCTTCCCCTTACACTATCAAGATGCCAATTAATATACATTCGTGCTACGAGTTATAATAACCGACTGAATAGCATTTATCATTATTTCTGATCTCATAAATGATTGGTTAAAATATTTATGTATATATTTTTCTTAATACACAGAATGAACTAGAATCACGTCAACCTGGTATAGTCGCTGAACTGATGACTGCAATGCTGTCAAAGTTAGGTAGCGAAACAGAAACCGAAGCTGGTAATGATGATGTTGATAATGACAATTGTAAATCAACACCCGACATACATAATGATCGATCTGAACAGGATGATGTGCAAAATAACACTGATAATGTTAAACTAAATGAAACTTTTACAGAGGAAAAATAAACTATGAACTTCATTTTGTATGTAAATACGTATAATGACTACTGTTTTCTGTACAGGCATATTTTTCATGTGTTTCTTCATTCTTCATATTACACATATTCATTTCATTAAAAATTCTTTTGATATTTACTACATTATAGAGTTTCTGTTACATAGTGTAATTGTGTATGAGTGTTGTTTGGCTGAATCTCTACTATTATATCATTAAATGAAGGTTCTGTATTAGACAATTATCTTGTATAAAGTGTATGTAAGAATAAGATAACTATGAAACTATTTATTTTGTTTTAATTTATATAACAATTAAATAGTGAAAAATTTAAATGGAAGTTTTAGAATATAATATTTATTGATATCATAGATAAGACGAGATCTCAGCACGGATACAGAAGGCTCGACTAGCTTTCGCCAACTTGCGTCATTTATGGCGTAGGCGATATATCCGTCTAGCAACCAAAGGATGGGTTTACTGTGCAGCAGTTCGTTCCGTCCTACTTTATGGCAGTGAAACATGGCCGATAAGAATAGAGGATATTCTTAGGTTACTAGTATTCGATCATAGATGTCTTCGAAGCATTGCTCATATATCCTGGGACCACCAAGTAAGTAATGTAGTTGTTAGGATACGGGTACTAGGTAAGGATGGCAAATCAATTAATGAAGTAGTGAAACTTCATCAGTTGAGATGGCTGGGACACGTTTTGCGTATGCTCAACCCCGACTGCTCCGACGTGTGATTTTTTATGGTGTAGGAGTAGGTTGGAAGAAAGGTAGGGGCGACCAGACCAAAACATGGCATAAATCCATGAAGTCACTGACAAGTGGAATGGGCCATGTTGGTAGGTGTAGACTACCTGGTTGGGATTCGCGAGATGATAGCAATCGATGGTTAGAGACCTTGAATGACATGGCTCAAAATCGTTTGCAATGGCGGAGGTGCATCCACTCTTTGTGTTCTACCGAATTCTAGTCTTCTGAATTCTTCATGTCTCTATATTTTTTCTCTCTTCAAATTTATTTCACTGTATTATACTCCTTGAATAAGATCTTCAACCCCTAGTCTTTCGGATAACTGCTTATACTCTTACTACATCTACCACTATGGGATATGAATCGACAATCGCATCTCTGTGCTAATGTGCTATGGTAACTTGAACTGATGTACGTACGTACGAAGTTCTACGTTGTGACTGACTGAGATAAGAGGTAATCACTAAAGATGTAAATATAGGAAATAATATAGACTTTTTTTAAAAATAGAACACTTTTTTTTGCCAAAGTGACGCCTAACGGTCAAGAGTCAAACTCAACAATTATGTCTTTTTGTAAAATATGTAGTAAAAATTCTAGAGTTCATATTGAGGTGCAATGCAAAAGAAGCGATGATCGCATTGATTTTACCCGTTATTCTCACTCCTTTAAGGGTGTACATTCAAAAATATTTTGTATTCATTTCGTCTCCTTACGATATAATTTAAACAGTTACTAACACAATAATATTTTCACTAAATATTCCTATTGGGATATTAAAAAGACAAATTGAATGAAGAAGTCTTTCTTTACAATTAATTCTTCATCAGGGCTCTCGTCTGACGGGTCAAATAAGAAGAAATGCTTATTTTAAACCGACTACAAAAATCTAATACAAGCATTTTACAAACTTTATACCATTACAGAATAAAGAGAACTTAGTCAAATGTTTGGCATAGAGCCAAAATTGTTCGCTTTAATAATAGTCTTTAAAAAGAACTTAAGCTTATTTATGGTTGATTACTTAAGCACGGATATCCATCGGCGTTCTTAACAAAACATATGTATGGAACTAGACGATGCCAAGAAAGTCTATATTCCCGAAATCACAGTCCAAAGGTGATATAGCAAGAGAAATAGTAACTCGACGTATATAAAGAACCTTGGGCGTACACTCAATGAGACAATATTATGTCCTACTTTCTTCAATCAGCCGACATTTCACGAAACAAGAATAAATTATTTTGTTTCTCTGCCTCGTTTAACTGCTTTTGTGGAGCTAATTATATTGGGCGCACAACTAGAACAATACATCATCGTATTCCTGAACGTCACCCCTCTTGGTTGACCAGACGATTAAAGAAAGTAGTAAGTTTTATCTTGGCACATTGAGTTGATACTGGTCATCACATAGACGAAACTTCAACGTTTACAGTTATTTATAAAGTCCGATTGAATTTACTCTATCGTCCCAGAATCCGACTCTTACATACATCAAAAGCTATAGGAATACATATCAAAAACCTAATCTCTAACAGAAAGTGTATATAGCCTCTGAATTTACCTTGGCTTTCGACTTAGATACTATTATACATCTCTTCTAATTTTACTCTCACGTAACCTCTTTAACAATCTTATTATTTATTTACACCTGTCCTACTAACTACTTATTATTAGTTTCCGAGGTAACAACAGGTCATTTATATCTACAACCAATCTCAATTCCTACTCTTATATAATCAGTTGTGATAATAAACTGATTATGAGAATTCACCAAACATTGTTACTAACTGTTTATTAGTTTGTTAGATTGGCTCACCACTGTCTAGTCGGTATCTATTTTCTACTGTTGTAAAATACTTATATTAGTGTAGAGCCCCTGATAATGAACTAATTGAAAAAAAGTATCTCCGTTCAACTCGTCATTTTGTAATCATATTTATCATCATGTTCAACTAACCATTGCCACTGAATATCTCATCTAAATGAATGTAATTTATAGTTAATTATCCTTATTTTACGCTTCCAACTGTTCGAAGCTCACGTTTTTTTATGGGAAAAATAGTAAAGGAATGTATTCTCTATACAAATGTTCGATAATAAGACCAGGGCACTACTAAATCAATGCATTAAATATAAGATTACTAGATAATTATACTAAATCATGTGTGAAACACTGATACACAGTTCACGACCAACAACTGAGAACCAGATTATAAAGGTTTACTCACATCACACAAAGTCAAACCCAGAGCATAAACTATTGAAAAGAAAGAATTCATAATATTAAATAGTAGTATCTCAACACAGAAAAAAATCTGAGTGTCTGTTTGTCTTGGCTCACTGGCCACGCGCTCAAAAAGAGAATCTCTTTACAATATTAAGTGGAAATACTTTCCCTAGTTTAGTCAGCTTGTATAAAATTATTAGCATAATGAACAACCTAACTGAAACCCAGTATGATAATAACTGATGAATAGGTCATGTATTACGTATCTATTTATTCATTGCATCATCTTAGATATTTGAAATGCACAAAGGAATGATTAAATTCATCAATATACGCACACACAAAAATAGAAGGAAAGTATATAAAATACAAAAAAAAACAGTGTATAATATAAGTAATTGAAGGAAGTCCTGTAATTACGAGTAAATTAAGTACTAGAATATAGGAATGTATATAATAAAGCTAATAAATAATTAGCATTTATATTAGAATATTAGTAGTATATATATACGTGTGTATATCCCTTGTAATGTCATGATTTCAGTGAAAAGGAAATTGTTCTTTAGAATAATAATGAAATCATTAAGTGATTCAATAATAAATCAGAAAATTAATTAACAAATATCTTCCTCTTCCTCCTTTCCTTCATGTTGTTGGTCACCTATTTCATTGCTTGATTTATTCGATAGAATATTCTTTTCATATTGATTATTCATATTGTAATTCCCTGAATTTGTTGAGGTTGAAATGAAATTGTCATTTGGTTTTTGTATTTGTTCAGAAGAATGATCACCATAAGGGAATTTGATTTCTTTTGCTAGACGAGCATACTAAATGCAATATTTTTCAAAGAAATAAAACAAAGCATAAATAATACTGAGATGAAATGTTTTTAAGTAGAAATTTGCTGAAATTCAATGGTTATGAATTTGTTGCCCCCAAATGCCCTGGTACGACCGAGAGTGGGGAGAGTCCGCTCTCCCTCTCCAAATGCTCTCATATGGCCACGCGTATATAGCCTCCGCCAGGGAAGTCCTACTAATTGCCTTCTCGTGGCGGGGGTGTTGCTTACGAAATTGAGGGGACAAAAAGCGAATGTCTGGCGCCTTAACCGAGTTGGTGGACACGAAAAGTCCACCTAGGGGAGTTGGAAAACCCTGATTCTAAACCAATGGTGTACATGGGCTGGCTCCAGTATCCTGAGGGAACAAATGGCGTATGAGTCAATCGTTGGTCACCGACTATCATGGGACTGCATTTCTTCACGATGCTCCACTGCCTTGTGGGTTATACCTTTAGGTCGAAAACTCCGGGTGTGACCCCCTAAGAAAACCACCTGCTTCGGTTTGGGCACCTGTGCAGTATCATAGCCCTCACACAAATCAGATAAGAATTGTGTGGCGCATATGTATCTGGTGCTTCCTTGTACCAATATTTATGTGTTTAAATAAATAATGAATCTGTTAGGAAATGCTAAGCACTGCATTTTAATAAGGTAAATGGATGCTACAAAAAATGTGTAGCTTAGATTCGCATCTAGAAGAAGTAAACATTGATAGTTAGTTTTGAAATACAGTATCCTGGGATTCCTCAGGTAATGTTATTCCTTGATAAAGGTTAACTTTAAATTGATACCCCCTCATATCGACGTATTCACCTGAATCCCACAAGGAAGACGTACTTATCACAAGAGGGAAGATGGAAGACTTCAAACGTTAGGCGACAAATTAGGGATGACGCATAATATTAAAGTTATTTATGCACCTTCTGAAAAATCGCAGCCTGTGTGCCCTTATATGGGCCGGAAGGACAAATGTCTATATACCTATGAATTGTATACATTATAGTTCACACTTATTTTGGTATGTTGTAAATAATGTGTATCGTAACCGATTTGAATCATGAAACAGAACAAAAATAACACACATTGATGTTTGGTAGATTCTATAAAACGACCACATCTCAAACTAATTATCGCTAAGTTATTAGCTTGAAAAAACTATATTATGATAGACATTTT